TATGTGCTTAAATCTCTTTTTTCCTAAAGAGCTATTTTTTAAACTTCTAAATTACTCATAAAAATAAGAAATAATAGTGATGACCAAAATAGAAACTTACACTTAGGATAATGATTTCTATAAATGTTACAGGTTAACAACAAAAAAAAAATAATAATTTACTTTGGGTAATATTACTGCCTATAAAGCTAGGCCATTTCCTCCCTTTTTCTGAGGACTTGAAAATTTAGAACATAATTACAAAAATGCTAAGCAAGGATAATCATTTTGTGGAACATTAATGCTTAGTTCTAATTAGGACTAATTGCTGTGGAGAAAGCAGTGGGTACCACCTGAAATAGTTTTTTCCCAATCAGCTAATAATTTTATATTGCTAAATAAATTTTAGTAAATCAATCAACTTATAAATCCACTAAAGAAAACAAAAAAGTTTATGACAAATTGAGATGGTAAGACCAAATTATATCTTCAATTTAATATAACTCAAAGTAAAGGTTTTTCCACTAAAAATCCTTCCTAAACTTGCAAGAATCAGAATTTTAAATCAGCACATTGATCACAATGGCAAAGATACTCTATATAAATCTATTTAGCTAGCTGTATATATAATTTTTGCATGTTCATATATATAGTTTGGTGGGTATTTCATTTACACATCATAACTAAAATTTATTTCTATGTATTTTGATAGTTATGATATATACTGGAAAATATTTATTGAATATATATTTATTATTATGTTTTTTATGAATTTTAAGATATGATGATGAAATTTTGAATACTTCTGAATAATCCTTAAGATTTTATGTAATACATTATTCTAGTCATTGTATGCTTAAAAGTTAAGGGCTGGCCCTCCCTAGTGGCGATATGGGTTAGGACTCAGCACTGCAAGCTAGCAGCAACCTGCTCAGTGAGAGTTCAATACCCGGCCCCCTCCCCACCCCAACGTGATCCACAGGGTGAGGCAGACCTCTCTGTCTTGCCAGCTGGTCCCCTCAGCAGTGTACTTTGTCAGTAGCACTGTTCTGCTCCCCACTCTGTCTTTGGTGAAGTCTCTCAATGTGCCCTGCACTTCTGGCCTGTACCCCAGTTCTGTATGAATAAATGAATATTAAAAAAAAAAAAAGTCGGGCCCTACTGGGTGGTGCAACAGGTCAAAGCATAGCACTAAGAAGCTAAAGCCACTTCAGCCTGAGTTCCATCCCCACCCCAGAGGTGATCTAGGTGGCACAGCAGACCTCTTCTGACCTACCAGGTGTTCCCCTTGACCCACCAGCTGCTCCCCTCAGCAGTGTACTTAGTCAGTAGGCCTGTTCTGCTCCACACTCTGTCCCTGGTGAATCCTCTCACAGCCCCTGCACCTCTGGCCTGTACCCCAGTTCTGTATACATAAATAAATAAATCTTTAAAAAAAAAAGGTAAGGGCTAATCAGCACAAGGAAAATATGTCTGTGAATTATGGAATTATGGTTTGGTCTTGATATCACTAAATCAACATTTTATTCAGAGCCTATATGTGTGTGTGTGTGTGTGTGTGTGTGTGAATATATATATATATTTCACATTAAAGTTCTTTTGAAATACACATTTTATTTGAGCCAAAATATTGGCTTAGAATTTTTTTTTTTTCTATATGCTTGTTCCCATAAAAGAACACATGTCTGAAAAGGAAGAACAGTCTGTGAATTATTTGATTATTATGATGAGGTCGTGTTTCTATACAGCAGAGACCAGTCACCAGGCTGGTTTCTTGTTAGGCAGAGACAGGAAGGCAAAGGAGAAGCACTACTCTCAGCAGGCTGCTGACCTACTTTGTTATTATAACACTGACTAAGACGCTATGAATGCATTTTTTCCCCCAGTGAAGCTACATACTGACTTGTCAGCAAATTAGTTACCTTTTGTTAGGGCTCTTAAAAATTCTTTAAGGCAGTATATCTAGAAAAAAATAAATTGTCATAATATAACTTCTAGTTTAGAGATTTTCATATTTAAAATATATTACTAGATCTCAAGAAAGAAATAGTTTACTTAAGAGACCTAGTTATATTTCTTAGTTATATTATTTCAATAAATCATTGCCTAAGCAGTTAGTTAAACTTTGTAAAACAAAAAAATGAACTTATTTGAATTTAGTTTTAATACATTTGCTAGACTATGAATAAATAATAATAGTCATCCTAGTTTTAAATGTTCTATTTGTACTTGGGTTATTCCTGTTTTGTTATAAATCATGTGCTGAAGGGAGATATCAATATATAACACTTTCTTTTCCAGTTTCCCAGCACACATTTATTGTGATTGTTAGTTTTTGAAATAGATCTCTTTGAATTGTCTCAATACCCTTATTGAAGTTCCTGATTGAAAATCAACAGAGAGTGATTGAAATGTCTTATTTTCTCTTTCCACAGTTTTAGTTTATACTCATAAGGGATTTTATCTCAATCCATAAGAACCTGACACTAGTACATAATTATATGAATTAGAAAACCAGTACTGTCAGTGTGGCTAAATTAAGAAATACTAAAAGACTTGTAAGAATGACTGCAAGTGAAGTGCACAATACTTGGGTGGTGAAAAGAGGTCAACATTTCCCTAATACCAGCCCAATAATCAGGCATTTGGGTAGTGTATATATTTCAGAAGACAGGACTCAAATTCATATTAATGACTTTCCCACATAATTTTCTATACCACTGAATTGTTTCAGGGTACATCTTGTTAATCACAGAGTAACTTCCAGCAAATATAGAAAAGTGGTATAAATGGCAGGTAGTAGAGTACAAGCATTATCAGGGTAGGGACATTGCCTCATTTAATTCTGTATGTTCAGAGTCTAAAAGGATTGATGCCTGACATAAATTAGATACTCAATAAGATTATCAAGATGGAAAAATAAATAATCTTTACTGATTTCCTAACTGAAGTACAGCGGAGTTAAGTGATTGCCTACTATCACAGAGGTTTTAGTGTTAGAGGCAATCCTAGGAAGTATGTCTCCAAGCTACATAGAGTTAGGATAAAAATAGTATCATCAAGATCAAATAAAATGAGTAAGCCTACCTGTTGATATAAAAATTGTCTTTTGAATAGCTGCTCTCCTTCTTATCACTAATATTCACAATATAAAAGAATTATAATTGGTCTGAATATTATAAAAAAGGTCCCTAGATTTGAGCATAGGCTTAACTGTTTCCTACCCTCTACCTTAGAATTAATTAAGCATAGACATTATGTCAACAAATGTTAAAGAAAACAAAAGTCAATTTATAATTAGACCCACATCCAAATAGAAAAAAAAGATCTATTAAGAAAATTACAAATTCTTAAAATTTGTAAATAAAATTGAAAATGTATGACATCAGATGTAATATAAATTTGTGTTAGAGTAAATAAAAACACACACTCTGACTAAATACCATTGCTACTATTCTGAAAGATACCCATGAAAAATTAATTCATAATTATTTGCAACTTTAATATTATTTCATACCAATGATGAACTATATTTTGACAGCAGAAGTGGTGTTTTCATGTTATATTCTCAGTCAGTTCAATTAGAGACCTGTTGCTTTTCCCTGCTCCTCCACACATTTTATGTCTTGCTCATTCAGTGATAAAAGTGACATATTTCATTTTTGAAAAGTTACCTAATATAGCTTATGTTTTACATTTTTAGATATAGAAGTTCCTACATAGAGCATTTCTCAAACTTTGGATGGGAAAAAACCATGTCAAACACTGTTCTAGACCTGGAAATAGGGCTCCGAACAAAGACCAATTCTTTGACTTGGTAGAATTTATATTTTCAAGTGCAGAGCACAGAAAAATATGAATAACAATTATATGTCTGTTGCTAAATTATTTTTTTATTATAATAGTTTATTTTTACAACGTTTTGTGCCTTTTCCATCTCAGTTGTAATCCCTGAGGACTTCCCACCACCAGATCATCTCTGTGCCATCACCACAGTCCCATGCACTAGCCCTCCCCATTTTTGAACCCATTCCCAACTCCACTCCCATAAAATGTCTCTGGTATATAGTTGTTCATTATTATTTCTCCCCCTGGTCCTTTATGTCCCTGCTATGTGTGAAACCATCTGGTATTTTTCTTTTTCTCTCTGGCTTATTTGACTAAACATGATCTCTTTTTTGCTCCATCCATATTGCTACAAAAGGCCTGAGATTGCCTTTTTGATTGCTGAGTAATATTTCATTGTGTATATGTACCAAAATTCTTTTACAGTAAAATAGAAAGAATTGGAGGATATATTAAGAAAGGAAGTCAGGGAAGGTTGCAAGAAGAAAATGTGAGAACTAAGACAAAAGAGGTAAATAATTGTAAATGAATGTCAAAACTATTCATTTTTGTTTTGACTCTTGATTATTACACTGCAGAAATCAAAACATTTGTTTTAAAAATGGAATTTGAACACAAATATACTTGGCTATGCAAAGTATACTTGTATTTCATAGAATTTTTCAAATATTTACATATCTTTCAGGGTACAGTTTATGAATTTTCTTTGTTTTCTCTGGAAAGACGCATTGTATGAAAGAACTATATTATAAATATTACATTTGAGTTTACATTGATGTACGTGCATCTGTATCTAGAAATAATGCCTTGACAATAATGAATGCTAAAGCCCAAGTTGAAAGGAGCTAATATAAACAGTAACTATTCTTTGAAAGAATAATGTACTATAACTATATGTTTGTACATGCACGCTTGAAACAAAATGACTCAATAAACACTAAGTAAGATATCAAAAAAAAAATAGATGGTGTAATATAAACTTTTCCAGAGATGTTACATGTAAATGAAATATAGTTGTAAAAAAGAAGCATAACATCTGATTTTCTAACCCTGGAAGCAAAATTAAAGTTTCTGTAAACATTTATGGAGTATATATTAGAACATCTTAACATAAACACTTAGAAGTTTTTGGAAAAACACTGAAACCAGAGTGTAAAGTAATACCAAGTACTTACAACCATTTCATTTAGAGACACCCAGCAATCCGGTGGGAAATCCTGTAAGAGTGGCACTAAGAACTGAAGACAGCCATCCCAGTGACACAGGAGCAGCATCATGCCGATGAGGTTAAATATCCTCACCACTGCACTAGCGAGATCATAAGTCATGTGGAAAATCTGTTGGCCAAAAGATGAAATCAATTTTTAGAATAATTCTTGAAGTCTAAGAATACTACCTATGCTGGCATGTTATCACATTAGGTAGTCTAAGTATTGACTTAATAAAAATATGGGAAGAACTTTCACATAAAGAATTGAAGATTATATATCATTTCATCTTACAATGAGGAGGACGCTCTGCTGTATGACTGTTATAATCAGGTTTTATAACAAGGGGTGAGATACATGAATACATCACTGGGCCACCTTTTCATGTACTACATTTCTGGACATTTTAGCAAAGCTGCTTTAGAACAAGGTAATAAATTTGACAAATAAGAGGTATATTCTTTTCTGCTTCTCCTCTCTTGCTATTAGATTTGTTTAAAGACCAAACAATAACCCAAGGATTGAATCCATGAACAGGAGTGTAATAACAACACAGAAAATTGAGAACTAATTGCAGTTAACTTTGTAGCTAAATAAGTGGAGGTATTTTCAAATTGTGTATATTGAAAATTAAAAAGTGACCTTTGAGAAAAAAGTTCTCTGAATCTGATTAGAAAATAATTGCATCATTATTTTTAAAAATTAAAATGGTTTTGTCTAACTATCTTTCTTACATATTTTTTCACAGAATCCAATATGATGGGTGACATTATTTTATAAGACCAAAATTATGACAAATCAATATCCTCCAGTGGAGTTTCAAGTAGAAACTTACATATAGCTTCATATCTATAATGTCTTAGCTATCTCATTATTGTAAGAAATGAGAGCCTCAATCCTTTCTTCAGTAGATCATGTATTATTTTCTTCTGTACTGTTTATATAGTTTATGATTATATTACCCTACTCTACAGTAACAAAACCCACTAGGGAGCAGATCTATATTCTACAATGAGGAAGTAATTTTTTAACTGTTAAAGAATTACTGGGTTAATAAATAAAATTAATAAGTATGCATACATGTAAAGTCATTATATCCTAATATATTTGGAATCACATTTCTATAATTCATCAAAAGTAAAATTAACTTTTCAAGTAATGGAATATTCTATATTAAGAAATTGAAAAATAGAGAAATAGAGAACACACACAAATTTTCTATTTTGACTTAGATATTATATATTTGTTAGGATATTTATATAATTCATAAGAGACATACTAAAGTACGCTGAGGTAAAAATGACATGCAGTTGGAAGCTTGCTTTTGTAAAATTACTATCTGTCTTTAAATGTTTTACATTTTGATAAGCTTCTATTAGGCATTAATTGTTTCTTACTTTTTGATATAGTATCTTAATATGTCATCTTACCTTTTTTTTTTTTTAAGATTTTATTTATTTATGTATCCAGAACTGGGGGGGTACAGACCAGAGGTGCAGGGGTGGTGAGAGGGTTCACCAGAGTGGGGAGCAGAACATGCAGACCAATGAAGTACACTGCTGAGGGGAGTAGCAGGTGGGTCAGGAGAGGTCTGCTGCACCATGTGGGTCACCTCCGGGTCTGGGGATTGAACTCATGCTGAAGTGGGTTTAGCTTCTTGGTGCTGTGCTTTAACCCACTAAGCCACCAGGGAGGGCCCTTACTTTTTAACATAGTAAGTACCATGAGGAAAAACTCCTTTGAGGAGATATACACCTTGTTCTGCATTACTTTTTATGTTTTAATTTTGCTTATTTAATTCACTTTAATTGAGGTAATGTTGGTAAGCAGCACTGTATATATTCAGGAATATGAATTCATACTATAAAAACATTATACCACACCACACCCTCTGCAACAGTCCACTGAATTCCCTGTATTCTTTGCTCTTAACTCTACCTCTCTCCCCATGAATTACCTCTAACTATAAGACTTGCATCCTAGAATTTAGGTATAAAGTACCATGATTTTGATATTCAGACAGCTACACACACACTGATTTATTTTAAAGTATTAAGAATTTTATTTTCCCCTAGATTATTTGTTAGTTAGGCTTCAATTTAAAAAACCCACAAAAAAGTCCTTTTGACGTTATTCCTTTGGCTATTTCTCAGTCATTGAATTGCTAAATAGAACTAGCACACACATTTTTATCAATAACCGCTTATAAAAATAATACAGTAAAACATAGTCTCAAAGATTTCCACTTAAAGTGGAAAAAGAAAAGCAACGTAGGTATAGAAACCATTTGTTTAGTAATAGAGTTCTATATTTATATTGAGTATTCTCACAAAATGGTTCAATATGTCCTTTGGATATTACTTTGTTTCCTTTGGGAAACAAAGTAAGCTGCAGAATATAAACTTCTAGGTGAAATAAGAAACACATCACCTTTAATTGTTTAAAGTAAAAAATTACTACTTTAAATTCTCTGCCAAACTGTCAATTATAACACATAGACAGCAAATCATCATTTGGTTAGCATACTTTATAGAGTGAGCTGTGGCATGTCACAGAGAAAAGGGCTCATTCTCAGTAGAGCTAGTTTTATGGATTTTCTATTTTCATTTTTGGAATTAGATATTTTCTGTGGAATTTTAGGAGGTTGTTTACTAAATAAAGATGGCACAGGCTAATAGCTATCCAACAATACCTTTAAGAAAATCCTATTATTGCTGAAATGTTTTCCAGAGAAACATAAACACTACTCTCATTAAGGGAGTTATAGCTCTTTCATAGCACATTAGAAACATAGTCTTTTGGATTGTTGCTGGTTTTGTTTCCATTTGATTACTAACTTGAGGGAGTATATGTGCTCCTGTTTTCATTATAGTCTATTTACAGTAGCCAAGTCATGGAAATGACATAAATGCCTAACACTAAGTGAGTAGATTTAGAACATACAGTATCTATATCTATCTATCTATCTAGTGTACATATATAGATGGAATACTATTCAGCTATAACATAAAGAACTCTTACAGTTTAGAACTGCAGAATATTGTGCTAAGTGAAATAAGCCAGAGTGATGGTCTTATTGGATGGTCTTCCTCATCTGTATATCAAAGAAAGACAAAACAAAGGGACTTGCAAAGCTAAAGCAAAATGAAGCCTAAGTACATGTATAGGCTAGAGGCTAATAGAGGGGAAGGAAGGAGTATGGATAAATTAGGGGGCAGGAGGACAATGATATATGGCAAAGGAATATGGATGTTCTCGAGTGGGTATGGTTGTTGATGTACATCTAGAAGGTGTGAACCTGTCCCACTAACTCACATACAGTGCTGTAAATCAATGTCACCTCAATAAAAGATAATACAAATACAAAACCTATAAACTTTTTTACACTTGCAGAAGATATAGCCTGTAGACTTCAACACAATGAGCATGCCTCTTTAATAATCCATTCCCTGGTTATTATCTATATGGTATTCCTCAGAGATTTAACATATCTGCATACAGTGACAATACAGTTATAACTAGTTGACACATTAACTGCATCTACTAATAGCTCTAGATTGTATACACTTTGTGATAAAGAACAATTGTGAACAATCACCATTTAAGTTTTTGATATTTGCCTATTTCCGAACAATCTACAATGTCAATGATATAAAAAGAAAAATGTGTAACCTACATAACAGACAATAAGAGACAGTCGTGTCCCTGAAACAAGTGAGCTTGGTTGGTAGTGGAAAGAAAGTAATGAAAAGTAAACATGGTTAAGAGTGTTGATTCCAGAGCCTTTCTGGTGGTGCAGGGGTTAAAGTCTCAACACTCTCAAGCTATCAAGAGCCACTAGTGTTCCATCCCTAGCCAGGGAGCTGACCCACAGGAGAAGAAGACCTTTCCTGTCTTGCCTGATGCTCCCCTTGGCAGTGTATTTCTGTAGGTCTGTCCGTTTTGCGCTTCACTTTATTTTTGGCGCATCCAATTATCCCCTCCCCCCTTACCTCTGCCTACATCCCAGTTCTTGCATGCATAAATAAATAAAAATGAATCTTTAAAGGAGTGTTGGTTCCAGAGATAGACTATCTGGCTGCAAATTTCTGGCTTCACTACTTGGAGACCATTTGCTTAACATTTTGGTTTGGTATAATCTTTTTATATGATGATTTTGTGTATATGATTAAGTCATATGGTTGTTTTAGGAATAAGTTCGTAATTACATGAAAAGTGCTTATAAAGCTGACTGGTACATATTATGTCCTCAACAAAGATCAAGTGGTATTTTTACTATCATTAATGAACAGTTCAAAATCTCAATAGAGCGCTGTTATTTTCTACTTTTGTCATCAAGAGTATCTACATAAAAAATATTCAATGGATATTTTATTATTTGTAGTACAATAAGATTTTTTTTTAAATTTTAGTCATATATTTGTGTAGAATATTAAATTGCTAGATGTGTATAAATATGTATATCTTAAAATCATTGGACAATTATTATTCTTAGAGATAAATGACAAAGTTCAGATGAAATAAACAGAAACTAAATAAAAAGTTTTTGCCAAGCAATTTCTTAAAAAAAATTAGCTACTGGGGAAAGACATAACTTGAAATAAGAAGAGTAAAGTGCTAGTTTCAACTCTGCATTAATGAGTTTCTAAAAATTTGCCTTGGCTTTTTAACTAAAAGGAAATGGAAGAAATGACCTCTGAAGCACATTCAATGTGTAAAATTCCACAATGCCACCCTTTAAGCTAAAAATGAAAGAATAATTTTAGAAAGTGAAAACGGAAGCTGACCTCATATGCGTACACACACACACACACACATACACACAGAATTTGGAAAATAAACCTGAGGAATATAGTATTTTGGATAGGCCATCTCTTCAAATCTTTGCTGATGAATAACATAAATAAGGTAAAATAAAGTATGTTAGTAACCATTCTATTATAACAAAATGCACATGTGGTTCCCAACATACCCAGCCTCTTTGTTCATCATTTAGTTTAGAAAATTCATGTCTAAGCCAGCACACTCCACCATAACCCAGAAATCAATAGAAAAGTCAAGGAAAAAAAAAATACCTGGCTTCTAAAAACTATTAAAATAAAAGCAATACTTCATAAATTTTAGTAGGG